CCAAGCTACTAGCGATGGCCTCCAACCTAGAAACGATGGCCTCCAAGCTACTAGCGATGGCCTCCAACCTACTAGCGGCTTAAGCTGGAAAGAGGAACATGGAGGAAGACATAGATTGAGCACGGATGCAATTTCAGGTTGGGGCCAGTATGAGCTGTGGGGAGGCTTACAAGGTTCAGCAGCCTGTGATGGCGTGAACACGTGGAAACAGACTACCGTCAGAGAGAGATTGTAAACTGCAGCATGGCAAATTAAGAAAAATTGAGATCATTGTGTGAACATAACTGCCTTTGGGGAAGAAGGTGAACGATGCACCGTGATTTTGTCGTGCCCATTCCTGAGGCGGCGACACCGGAGCGGAGAGCTGATCGCAGCCTTTCGCTGCGGCCACAGCTTGTGCATGCTTATGCTGCATTATGCCTTCGTGCGCTTTGCACCCTGTGGCAGCAAACAGATGACACGGTAGATAGTCATAGACAATGGTTTCCAAAGAGTGTCAAACATTTTGAAGCATTCTTCTGAAGAAACCTTTGACAAGGATCCAACCCAACCACCAACAGGTCTATAGGGTCTACTGATGCTGCCCTCATTGCCTCGCACAACAAGATCAATGAGCAAGTACGCGTTTGACGCGTCTATATTTACCAGGCTACCGCCTGCAGCCGCCGACCCCTAAGGGATAGAACCTGAGCGCTAGCCTTGCTCTATGTTAGCCTTAGCCTTAGCCTTAAGAGTGCAGACCCAACCCAGCAGCACCAAAGCAGGTACCCCAAAAGTCGACTTTGTCCAAGAATTTAGACCCAACCCTTCACCACCAAAGCAGGTACCCAAGAAGTCCCGTAATGCTGAACCCTCGTCCCCATAAATTGCCCAAGAATTTAAACCCAACCCAGCACCACCAAAGCAGGTACCCAAAAAGTCGCCGATTCACCATCGGACGTCAGCTCTTGCATGAACCCCGTGACGCGTTGGGTTCTGCGGCCTGTGGGGCCGCAGGGCGCTGCCCATGGTCTAGGGTACATTCAAGTGCCACAAGCGTCGGCGCCCGGACTTGTGCTGAATCGATCGATTTCTCCCGGCGACCCAACCCATTACCACCAAAGCAGGTACCCAAAAAGTCGACTTTTTGGGTACCTCCCAGATGTACCATCGGACGTCATCGCTTCGCCGAGGACCGCTCGCAGGCCAAGCTGCAAAAACAGAAAACGTGACAAAATCTACGAAAAAGCAAGGGCATTGGCCGGGACCACGCCGCGACCAGCCCGGGATTCGAGCCCAGGACCATTTTGGACCGTGCTTATTTTCCCGCGCGGGTCGAGAGGGTGCCCCAAGATGTAAATCAATTGGGATGGCAGAATCTTGGACAATCCACGTCACAATCAGCGAAATTTCCTGGAGAACTTTCGTCACTGCAACAAGGGTCCGGAGGGGTAGGGGAGGTAAGGTCTAGGTCTAAGGCTAAGGACTAAGGCTAAGGCTAAGGCTTAAGGCTAAGGCTAACATCGACAGTCACGCCTCACCCCACGGTGTGGGGTCGGCGGATTAAACGATCAGGTATTCGTACCTGATGTTGGACAACAGCTGAGCGATCAAACCTCTCGCACATAGCATCAATTGAAAGCACGCACTCACGGGTTGGCATCCATGTGTTTGTTTACATTGTTTGTGTGAAGGTAAACGATGTTTTCAAGTGGTTGGGGGTTTGAAGAGAAGGTGCAGCACAAACTTCCTCCAACTCCGCACCTCCCGCCGGGTCTTGAGGCTCGGAACCGCCTTCCCAGGAGTTCTTGGCCTTCACCCCGTTGGGGCGCCCAAGGTCCGACGTACCCAACCGGCGTGACCGGTCTGGAGTCAGTTGGTGCTTGCTTGAGTTCGTGACTCCCATCTGTAGGCTCAAACAATTTTGCACTTTGGCTGCGAGTCATCCAGAAGATTGAGGAAAAGAAAGCCGCTGGAAACGCCTAGCTAGCCCTTCTTGACACATCAAAAAGAAAGAAACTCTTGACGAACCCATGCATGTTGATAGCTTGGCATGGCTTGAGCATATCTCACCACACATCGCACTAGATGGCACTAGATGTCACACACCGTCTCATAGGTTTGAAAGGTACCGCTGTGATTGACATCTCTTGAAGCAAGTCTCCCTGCAGTCCTGTTTCTCCGCAATGGCTGTGACAACATTAGCCTTGGCGGGGCCAAACGCTCGCAATCCTGGAGATTGGCCCTGTCAGTTCTGCAAAAAGGTGCAATTTGGCCGTCACACAGACGGCAAGAAGCGGGTCGATTAATATACTATTTCCATAGAAAAGAGATGCCAGCTTGTCGGCAGAATACTGCACAATTGCTGATTCAAAGCCCGCGATTGATATTTCCAAGGCGACTTGACCTGCAAAGATTGCGGGGCGCGAAGGCCCGTTGCTTGTACCTACGGAACCCCGCTGCCGGCGGCCGAAGAGAATCCACTTCAATCCCCGACAGGACGCCGACAGGATGGTTTCAATCGCTTTCGCGAGAACCTGTTGAATTTCAGCCGTTTTGCAGGACAGCCTGGGGATTGGACGTGCCCCAAGTGCAAGACCACCTGTTTTGCCCGGAATCCGGTTTGTGGCAGGCACGTAGAAACATCGCGCATGGTGGCCATGTTGGGTTCGAACATTTATCATCTACAACTCAAACTGAAACAAGGTTTGCTTCAAGTATGGCATGTCAATTCAGCTCAGAGCTGTCGTGTGCTGTGACCATGCGACGCTTGATGCCACCATGCGACGTCTTCACCGTGTTTCAGGTGCAACTGTCCAAAGCCTGAGACGGTTGAAGAGTACAACCTTCTGGCACAGGCAGCTGTCGGATTATTGCCAGGCGCGAACACCGAGATTCTCGCTCTGAACCGAGACTTTTTGTTGGTGATTGGTCAGTAGCGATGCCCTTTGTTCCCAGTAGCTTCTTGTTATTTAATGTTACTAGTAGTAGTGCCAGGAGCTACTAGTAATTAGCGTCCTTGCTCCCAAGCCTGTCTCACTTGGAAGGTCACCGGGGCAGTGCCCGGGGCTATGTGCCGCCCACTGTCGAACTCAAAGCAGATTCGTCTTCACCTTGGGCTAGACAATGGACTGCAGGCCCTGTGAACGGTGTCTTGGACCTTGAATGAAACACACTCGGAGGGCTCTTTGTGCTGCATCAAGCACCGTTCTTTTCAACGTTACAAAGCCCGTGTTTGTGACTTGGGGTTATCTGAGGTATGTTTATTGGCGAGACGAACTTGCCGGTTTCTGGGCTTCAATTGGCGTCACATATGACGTCACAGTCACAGGTGGCAAAGGTATGCCGAGGTGGCTATTGCATTGAGATGCGATATGAGGGAAGGGTAGCGGGAAGGGTATGGATGGTCATGGATGTGTTGGCCGCAGCTCGAGCACGGCCGCCACCGACTCAGGGATGGCTCACTGGCGCGGCCGCCACCGACCGAAACGACAAGGACTCCTCCGAATCAGAGAGTGCCAAGGTGGGACATTGTGCTCGCAAGACTGTCGCAAGCGGCTCCCCCCGAAAAAGACGATACACCTGACAGATCCTGACAGCCTGGCGTAAGGCCAAGAAAAGGAAACTCGAGGCCTTGGCATGCCTTGTTGTCATGATTTTTGCCATGCCTTGTGATATCAAATTGAGATCCTGCTCGACGGAGGCGCAAGGAAAGGCGGTTGCCAAAGCAGAAGCCAAGAAACGCCCAAAGATTAAAAAGAAATATTCAGGCTTGTCAAAAGAAGATGCTAGATCAAGCTATAAAACATGGAGAGGGAGAAGACATGGACAAACACGTGGGGATTTGGGGACATGGTTTTCCAAAGCGCAGTTCGAAGCTTTGGACGGCTCCCCACTCTTGACAGCAGAAGCTAAGAGCGACGGCCTCCAACTTAGGAAATTGCGAAGAAGAAGGCTGAGGAGGAGGAGGAAAAGCGGCGGCAGATGCGTGAGCGTCGCAAGGATCGAGTGATCAGAGTAGACTGAGATAGACTGGGAGACTGTCAGTGACCTGACCAACTCGTCACTTGGACCAATTGGGTGTGCCAGTGCATGATGTCTCAAGATGTGGCAACTTGACTTTGTAGGTTTCCACGTTGAAAGTTCGCCGCAAGCAGTTGGACTAAGAAGCTACGAACGGGGCTCCTGGCATCGCTACTAGGAGCAAGGACGCTACTAGGAGCTTTTTGGACTGTTTGTTAGGTGACCTGCCGATGGCATCCATGGATCGCCTGCCAACGTACCACTGATGCAAGTTTTGCGCCTTGGGAACACCGTCAGATGTGAACGCCCGGCCCATTGCCCCTTGCAATGCGCCACAAAGATGAACGGTTTTCCTGAACCGCCTTCTTCTTTGAATGCTCTTGGTGCCTTGCAAACGTAGATTGACACCACCTGGAGGGTAGAGTTGTGATATACGGACTGGATGGTGCATATTTGTTTGAGGTCCATAGCAGGCTTGATAACCCTTTGACCTATTACATATTCTTATTGATGATAAATCTAGAAGCTTTGTTCACGCAAATTTCATGGCACAGAAACACTGGCATAATCTTAGGGCTTTGCCACTCGGCGAAGTGCAGCTGGAAACCAGCTGGCCTGGAGAGAAGCTGAGACATCCTGTCACCTCAAAAACGCCCTGTAATGCATTTCGAGACCAGACAGGTATTTATTCTAGAGACTGTTGCAAGCAGCCTTAGCCTTTTTGAGGGAGCATCGAGCGGGTAGGTGGTAGCATAGGCTTTTCCCAAAGCGCCCCATAGCTTGGAGTGTCGCATGACCCCAGTCAAGTTCTTTGGGGTTATAATCACGTTTGTTTCATACAAACGTGATATTTTCGTGATATTAGGGAGGCCATCGCTTAGTAGGTTGGAGGCCATTGCTATTAGGTTGTGTCATACCAACGTTTCCTTAGGTTTCGTGATATTTTTGTCTCGGCTTGGAAAGCACTCCAGAATTCAGAACTCAGTGCACTTGAGTGCACGCGTCCATTTGTCGAAAAAGCTGCTCAATGCATGGTGAGACTCTTGGTGAGACAGGAGGTAAGAGAAAGCCAAGCAGATCAAAACAGCATTACTTGATATTCCTGGGAGATGTGAGAAACTAGAATAAACTAGATGTGGGCAGTCTGTAGTAGCAGAGCTTCCATTCTTGGATTTGGAGTGAGGCTTAGTAAGGGCTTCAGTCAAAGACCTGAGGTGAGGGTAAAGCGGTGACGTCACACAGTATGTAAAAGAGATAGTAAAAAATATATAGACGCATTCTTTATAGTGCTTAGTTCCAAGACTTGGGTTAAGGAAAACAGGTGAGGCGTACTCAGACAGACTTTTGGTCTTATGGAGAAACGACCTCCAGGATAAGTGCTATTTTTGTTTTTTTCTTTTTCTCTTTCTGGCATTGTGAGTTGTTTGGTTTGCTTTTGGTACTGGGGGGGCGGGCTCGTCCGAGGAGTAGGGCGTGCCGAGGCCGGATCTCGGTCTTTCGGTTTGGGACGAAGACGTCAAACGCGAAGACGTCGCTGAGGAGCAGCCTGGACCGACTGCGAGAGACGTGGCCTCAGCTCCACCCTAGCAGCGATGGTCTCCAACCTAATAGCAATGGTCTCCTGACGGGTTTTGCACTAGACTGGAAATCTTTGATGTAATCAATTTGTACTCGTATCTACTAGCAACACTGGTAACCCGGAGCGTTTGTTTCACGAGAGCGCTGCAATGTCCCGCCTCAAGTATAATGTCCTGGCTTACTACCCCCAACAAAAGCAACAAGCAAAAGCAAGACATGCGAGTTCTTTGTTACATCTTGTTGCCCCAAGGTCTGACAGACAATGCAACGCAATGTGATATTGTTTGAAGTGGGGTGGGGCTTGAGAGACCGGTTCGGATTCAGAAGTTTGGCATGGTGGCAGTGTAAGGCCTGTAACTCCCATCCACCCTGCAAACCCCAGCCCAGTCAAGTCAGGATTGAGAGGCACTGCTGGGGGTGCGAGCCTCATTTCTGCAAGCTGACCGACGAATTCAGGGCCATTTGAGACAGGATGAAGAACTGGAGGGTCTGAGACGCTACATCAGGATGAGACCATGTTACCAGCTTCAAGCGCACCCCTGTTGCAATTGACCACTTTAACAAACCTCGAAGCCAGTCATTTTTGCGGCTCAAGCCACACATTGCCCGTGTCTAGATTTATCTAACTCGCCATTGTCTGACAAGATTGGGCCACGATTTTCTGCGCGGTATGCAGCGGTATCTTGCAAGACTGCATTGCCCTCCATGACATAGACAAGGAGAGAGAGAGAGAGAGAACCTGAGACCTCTAAGACTCTGAGGAGCATTGGAACAGAGCGCGGGGTGTAATCAGTGAAGGCCTAGACTCTAGACAGCAAACAGGATCTTTAGAAAGCAGTGTTATCCACTCTGGACTGCGATGTTTGGCATCAGGAAGAGGAGAAAAACCATCACGATCCGGTGAGAGTTTTGAAAGATAAACAGAGGCTGCTTTGCCATGACCTGCTGCTTTGATTTTCTGGCTCCCATTCTGGCTCCTGGGGAGGAGGTTGGATGACTGGATCGAAATCATGGTGAGACGGAGTGTTGCAATGTTTTACTGCCAATCTCCTTGCGGCGGTTTCCTGGTTTCACTTTGCTCCCATTCAATTACCTCTTGTCAATGGTTTTCGGCATGTTTTGGAGTGTAGTCCAGCAAGTCCTTGTTCCGGACTATGTAACTAGACCATACGTTCGACCTATATATCCTAACTAGACGATGAGAGTCTCAAGACGAAACTGAAACCAACCAGATGAGGATTCTTCGCCTGTCTCCCTCCACACTCGTGGCACCCACTCTCACTCACGGCAGGTTGACGTGATCGTGGTGGGCGCCGGTCTGGCGGGCCTTGCGTGCGCCCTGCGGTTGAAGGATCAAGGGCTAAGACCCGTCATCTTGGAGGCTCGAGCGCTGGTGGGTGGCCGCGCCTCACGGGGGGGCGCTGACTGGGTCCATGGCCAGCATGTGGCTACTTGGCGGTATTTGAAGCCCGGCCAAGGAAGCCCAAAGAAGTCTGCTTTCCTTCGCAATTGTGTTAAGTAAGTGTCTTATGCGTGATGCCGCGATGCCTCTGAAGGGAAAGCCTGGCTGAATCTTTGGGAAAGTGTGGCGTTTTGCCACCCGCAGAGTCTCATTGTATCTCATGTGTTTTCCCGGCTTGGTATGATTGACACAAAGGTGTTCACGACTTGACCCTTGCAGCGGACTTCCTTTTGAGAGCCTAAGGAAACGCTTTAACATGCAAATGGATGGGTCAAGCAATGGGTGGGACAGCAACCTTCCTGGTGGTCCTGAATGTTGGATCTACGTGGATGGGGAACTCCGAGGACCTGATCGGGTCTTTTCCGAGCCGAATCGTTTATTTTTCCAGAAGTTTGATGAGCTCATTGAGATGCTCGGCCGCAACTTGAAGCTTTAAACTTGGGTCTTGAAATTGTGAAGTTGCCGTGCTGGACGGTATTCTGGTAGGCGGCTACTAGCCTTCGCTCCCAGGTAAGAGAAATGTGTTTGACATGGACGACCAGAAATGAAGAGGAAGGAGGGCAGCATTAGCTCTCTAACCACGACCAAGGTTCCTTCATCCCTCTTTGAGAATTCATGTATTGTTATTTTGAATCGAGATCACTAAGCTCCAGAAGCAATGATTGACCACTCATCCATGATGCGTCTCCATGTGACAGTTAGCCGCTAGCCATTGTTGGAGCAATCAGGACGGTACTTTGTGGATCAATTTTGAGCAGTTCTAAAGCAAGAACACACCTTTTGCGGCTGGGCGGGCCAACTCTCAAGGGTGCCTAAATCACCATGGGCTCTAATTCTCCCCCACCTCCAGCTAACTCTTTAGGACTTTAGGCTGCAAGAATGTCAGGGGACAAGAAGACGTGGGGCTGAGCTGCAGCCTGCGATTGTTTGTAATGATAGGCGTGGCAAAAAGAGTAGGGCCCATAGACGGTTCGGATTCCAGACATATATGGGGAAAACAGACACGGACGGGCAGAATTATTCCTGAAACGATGGCTAGTGAGCCGCAGGGAATTGCAAATGTGCGCATTGACATAAGGTGAGCTTTGATCAAGGAGGGGGAAGTATTTGTTTAAATCGCCTCGATTGTTTCAAGGAAATGGATCCAAGATGGCCGAGAGGATGTGAGCATGTCGCAATTAGGAGAACAAGCTTTTGATGTAACACCCACTGTAGATGAGCGTTTGTTGATGGAGGGTATGATGGCTGAATGGCATGCTGCAGATCTGGCAGATGTGGGAGTTTATGAGGATGACCTTTATAGCGAACGTATTCAAGAACTGGCCAAGTCCAGGCCCAGCATCCTCCAGGACGATGGCGACGAAGGACACTGGCGCATCTTGGGTGGGCACCAGGGCCTGGCTGAGAAGATGTCCAAAGGCTTGGATGTTCGATTCACTACGCTGGTGGATGAGATCCGTTGGTCTGGATCCAAGGTCCGTGTGAAGACGAGACCTGCCAACTCCACATCCGCCCCAAACGGATCTCATGTCTTCGCTGCACGCTTCGCGGTGGTCACGGTACCCTTGGCCTGTGTCAATGATATTCGTTTTGAACCCGCCCTACCTGGAAGGAAGCAGATGGCCGTCAATCAGTTGGGCCGAGGAGTGACCACCACAGTCTATTTGAATTTCAAGAAGCGCTTTTGGCCGGAGAAGTTGGCCTTCCTTTTTCACAGCATGTCCTCCCAAGCTTTTTGGCCTGGAAGAAATCAAAACGTTTTGACAGCCTACTTTGGAGGTCGCAGGGCCAACGAAGAATTGTTGAAATTAGACGACATGGCTTTAACTGAAGAGATTCTGCGGCAGTTGGCGGTGATCTTTCGCAAAGATGTGAGCCAAGAAGATTTACGGCAGCTCCTGCTGAAAAGCGAAGTCCGTCGTTGGGACACAGATCCCTTTGCCAAGATGGCCTACTCCTATTGCCCAGTGAACTGCGCTGCTTTACGGGCCGATTTGGCAGAAAGCTGCAGAGCAGAGGGCCGAGGAGCTCTTTTGTTGTGGGCCGGCGAGGCCACGCACCCCACCAAGGCGAGCTTCGCGCATGGAGCACTGGAAGAAGGTGAAAGGGCCGCGGAAGAGATCTTTGAGATCCTGAAGTCCACTGGGTCCATGGTCGGGTAAATCCTTTGAGCAGTGCTTTGCCCTTCAGACACTATTCGCCGCCAGCGGGCAAAGCATGGACCGTCAATGACCCTTCTTTTGTCGTTGTTCCCATTCGCCGTGCGCAGGGTCAAACAAGACCGTTCCCCAACAGGGGTAATGCAGTTTTAAACAGTTTTAATAGAGAACGGGACATGACCTGAAAAATGGGTGATTGAACCATGTTGGATTCCGAATCAATCACTCCCTTCTTCGACATCATCAGCATCACTATCCCGGTGTGCCTGAACGAAACCGTTCTTTCCACGTCCACAACTGGCAGTGCAGATGTATATGATGTATACAGTCAGCATGTTTGAAGCATTTGGATCGTGGTTTAAATACTTTGGTCAACCACTTGGGGTTGTCCCTTTGTTTCCTTTGCTCTTTGTGAGTCACTCTTCACTAAAGATGTTGATGCCGCCCTTCCCAGAGACCGGGGAGCTATACATATAGACGAGATTGAGGCCATGGAGGCGGAGCCGAGTGCGGGGCCAATAGGGCATTCAATCCAAAAGTGTTCGTTTCCAGTGTGCGAATGATTTGTGGATCAGATGTGTACAAGAACTATTGTAGAGTTGTGCATGTGTTTGGCAACCTCCACTTGCCGGCTGGAGACAATAGATTAGACGGTAGTTTGACATAGGCGGTTGACTGTTTTTCTTCTCCAATAATGTTCCAGTTTATTGAATTAATGTGGGCACTCCTTGCAAGTGTCCGGATGCTCATTTGCCAGAGGCCTTTGCAGTCCTCAATTACATGTTGTTGCTATTTTTTGCTCATGGACTCATGGAATGCTTCCATTCATTTCAACGCTGCAATCCTCCGAGCTCCTGAGATCTATGTTTTTGCACCACTTCATTGCGACTGCTCACAAGATACCAAGGTCCCAAGCTTGGGCCAGGCAGGGGTGCACAAAACGATTATAAACGAAATTATGTATTTATATATATATATACATAATGTATACTAGTCTGTCTATAAAACGAATCCATTTGATCAGCTTTTGATCTTTTTGAATCCTTTGATTTGGCCTTTCTCTTTGTTTCTACGCTTATGGGAGCTTTCGGGTGAGAGTGCCGCGGAATACAGGCAGAGACTTTTGACATCGCTTGTTTTAGGGTGAACAGTCTAATTGTTTGTTCTGTTCATTTCTGGTCCTTTTTTTTTTGGGTTCTTTCTACGAGTACTAAGGCCAGGAGCTACGTTCGTAGCGTCCGATCGCTCCTAATAGCGATGCCCGTTGTTCCGTGCGTAGCTGCTTTTAATCCGTTTCTCTTTCGTGTTTGACTGACTCATGGTCCACCGTCCAAGGTTTGCGAAGCGAGGTGGGGACCCATTGCTCCGTGTCCAGAGGAGGCTTCCTGGGAGCCTGACTGAATGGTCAGTTGTCCTGACCAAAACAGACAGAGACCCCAAGAAACCGCAGTCTACCTAGGTCTACACATTGTGTAATGTGCGTGATGTCTCCAGGATGAACCCAAAGGCCAAAGTTATTTCTTGCTTGGTCGAACACTTGGCTTTTCCAACCAGGTTCTTCAAGAAGCTTCACGCATTGCACTGGTGAAAGCTGCTCAGATTTGCCATGGCCTCAATTCCTAATTTATGGTCCTAATTATGTCCTATTCATATCATCTATATAGCCACCATATCATTGTCAGTTCCACACTTGAATTGAGAGATCAAGAGGCTGAGTGGTGTTATTCGTGGTGCGCGTGCTGACTTCATGTTTTCAAGGTAGACTGAACCGTTCTCGAGTGGACAGTGTGGCGGACTGAGCCCCCTCGGCAGACATGTTCGTCGATGTTTAGGAGCGATCGGACGCTACGAAGGTAGCTCCTGGCCTTACTACTAGGAGCAAGAAGCTACTAGTAGCAAGGGCATCGCTACTAGTAACAAGAAGCTACTAGCGATGGCCATGGCCTCCCCAGAGGGCTGCAAGCGTGAGTTTCTCAGGGTAGCGATGCGAGCACCATTGCCAGTGACGGTCAGTGCCTCAAGCCCTCGGCAACACATGGCATCACACTTGTACATGGACGTATTTGAGGCGATGACGATTGCAGGGTGCCAATGACTTAGGGGGGGTTGGGAACAGTCGAGTTTTGTTTTGATTGTTGCCCTGTCTCTTTGAGGAGTAGTCAGGGTGGAGCTTGGGGATCAATTGAAATCAGTCTTTGTATGCGACGTGACGACGTGTAATCCATCAAGGATTTCCGTTTCAGTGGAAGCATGGGAGAATGCGAAGGATGTAGCGTTGGACTTCGGCTCCAGCTCTTCCAAAAACAAACGCTTGGTAGTCATCCTTGAAGCCACCGTTGGGCCGGTTTCGAAGCCATCCAAGGAAAGTCATAACTCACTGCTTCGATCCAAATGCACGGCCGCCGGCATCTAAGATCTGACACGTTCTTCGCTGTTCCGAGATCAGACATGTTGCCTCTTCCTGCAGGCTGCCGCACCCCATGAACTTCATGGGTGAGCCCTGCAACTTGGAGGAACCCACTGCGCCGACCACCACAAAGAGAGATGTTATTTGGCGTCCAAGATGAAGCTGGCATCAGAGATTTTTCGCAAGAGATACACACTACATATGTAACTGAAGATGCTGCTGGGTTCAGCAAGGATGTCGGCATAGTGTCCTTGCGCTAAAAGGCCTTTTTGACATGGCGCGCAGGTTGGGATCAAGAAGCGGGAAGAGCTTCTGCAGCACGTGACACCACAAAACCACCATAGAACATCACGGGGAGGTCGCATGAGACAACCCTTGTTGTCTCCAAAAGCATCCATGGCATTCTTTTCTCGATCTTCTTAACACGGTTAAGACAGAACATGGCCGTTGATCGGGGCGATGTCCCTGGAGGCCGGGTCAAGGAAGCGAAGGTGAAAAAGGAATCAAAAGGACTCGTGGTTACTAGTAGTAAGGCACTTGTTACTACTAGTAAGGCACCTGTTCCTACTAGTGGCACTTGTTACTAGTAGCTTCTAATTAAGTTCTTTTTGTTACTAGTAGTAAGGCACTTGTTTCTAATAGCTTCTTGTTACTACTAGTAAGGCACCTGTTACTAGTAGCGTGGCACTTGTTACTACAACTGGGGACTCATTGGATTAAAGAGTTCAACTGTTTGGACTGAAGGGTTTGTGAGGATGGGTAGTTTCTCCAGACTGGACCGCATCGATTCTACTACCGGTGACGGTGACGGTGAGTCGTGTGCACGCAAAGACATTGGCTTCCTGGCAGAAGTGCTCGGCAACATGGGAGGCCTCCTACATTTGGATTTGTCTCCACAGCCACCGCGACCCTGGGACTTTTTCAGCCGGATTGAATGTGCAAGAGAAATGCACGGGAGTTGACTCTGACGGAGGCATAGCACCCTATTTGGCTCTTTGAGTTTGGTCACTGAGGCATAGCACCTCAAGCAGCAGTCAGCTGCTCAGCAACAGCCAACGGATGCCAAGGAACCACTATTGCACGTACTGCAATTCTGACCCCAAGTCCGTTGATCTCTCTGAGGTCCGTAGGCGTCCATCGGTCTGGCAGAGCCTCAATAAGCCAATGAATATGTGCGACAAGATCGTGCTCTTCTTGGGGGCTTTGATGAGCTCATCGCTCTTTGCCTTTCATCACATGATCCCGAGCCCCTGGGATCTCGTCTATGTCGTCCTGGGCTGCTTGATGATGCCCGCCACCAAGCTGCACAGAAGATGGAGATCCCTGAGATCCCCCATTCCTTGAAGGCATGCAGTGGCCCATACCAAAAGTGATGGAAGTTGTATCACCCTTGGCGCCAGCGACATGTGCAATCTAGCAGTCAGGGTTAGGGAAAAACGCTTTTGGAATGCTACTACTACGTGGTTTGGAGAGGGAGATTGTTGGAAGGCGCAGGTCTTTTGCAGGTGTGCACGCACTTGGCGGGGTCATACCTGTTCATGAGATCACGTTCCAGGCAACATTTTTCTTGGAGGCCATGCCTCTTAGGTTGGAGGCCACCGCTCATAGGTTGCAGGCCATCGCTCTTAGGTTGCAGGCCATCGCTCTTAGGTTGGAGGCCATGCCTCTTAGGTTGGAGGCCATGCCTCTTAGGTTGGAGGCCATGCCTCTTAGGTTGGAGGCCATCGCTCTTAGGTTGGAGGTCATCGCTCTTAAGTTGGAGGCCATCGCTCTTAGGTTGCAGGCCATCGCTCATAGGTTGCAGGCCATCGCTCTTAGGTTGCAGGCCATCGCTCTTAGGTTGGAGGCCATCGCCATCAGGTTCTTGAGTTCACGTTGCAGGCAATATTTTTCTTGATCCTGATGCGACACGTGCCTCACAAGAGCGAGGAGAAGTACCATGTGAGCCGGGTTTGGGCGCGAACCGCCTATGATGCGGACATTGCACATCGAACTTTGGTAACTTGTCACTGTAAGGCTGAGCCATGCTAAGACAAACGTTTTTGTTTAATGTATGGTGAATGAGCCCACTGAGCCCAGTCCCGCAGTTCTCAAGCTTCCACTTGTTAGGGTCCACCCGACCTGCAACATCATCCTTTGGGATGTGAGTGCAAATGGTGTAGCCGAACACTTCTAGCAGCATCACAAGAGAGTCGTGCTCCTTGGTCCCCTGAGCATCGAAGCCCCTCAGTGGCTCACCATGATGTCCGCTTGAGTGAGTGGGCTCATTCACAATACATTATAGCAAAAGGAACCTACTAGCGATGGCCTCCAACCTACTAGCTTGAGAGATTAAGATTATTGAGGAATTCTTGTTTCTCATGTGAGAAAAAACACCAGTATACTCAATCCACATGGACAGCCTTTGGACTCGCTCCACCGCTTGAGACCTGGACCACAGACACGCGCACCGAGGCCATCTCCCGCGTACGAATCGCTGGGACCAAAGGCGGCAAAGGAATGATCCAGGATGTGGGGCTCATTGGGGAGCAGTGCGCTGTTGAGTGCAGCACCACCAACTGCGTTTGTTGCCTCACAGACGCTTGGGCATGTGGGCTTCCTGCCGTTCGGTGAAGTGTAGTTCGATGCCTCACGACCAAATGCTTTGGCAACTGCTTGCCAACCCGGGTTTTGACGGGATCGAACCCAACTGCCATGCCCTTTGCAGTCTTTGCAGTCTTTGCAGTGGGCCTGGCGGGTTCCCTGAAATAGTGATGCGGTTTCATGCACTGGTTCCTTTTCAATTGACTATATTTATAGAATATATTCAGTGTTTGTTCGAGATCATCAACCTATTGCCTATTATTTGTTTGAGAGGGCTAACACGTCGCAGAAGACAGTCCCAAGGAGGGCGTGGTTTCAACATGTTTCAACCTTTTGAAGGCAGTCAGTCAATTTTTGGCGTATCTCTCAAGTTTTCCTTCTCATATGCTTCAAAAGGCATGGTTTGCTCAAATTTCGTTCATAAAGGCTGTGTATCTACCAGCAAGGGGGGATGTGTTCACACTCAAGCTTGGTTCGCTGATTTGGAGTTGCATTTTTCAGGTGGCAGAATGCTAGCCAACGTGGGTCCCACGACTACGATCTGGTCTTGGACATCTGATTATATAGCGTGCATAACTTTCCGTTTCTGTCAATCTATGGTCTTACAGCTGTCCGGCCCAAAGACACAGCAGATTACACATGGTACCTTTTTTTGGGTCGCACCAGGTGACAAAACATCTTTGGCTGGTGTATCACATGCGAATGCCAATTGAGAAAGGCGTCTAGATTGCCGTCATTCAGCGGAAGCTCATCAACAAAAAAGAACGTTGAGAACTTCTATTCACAACTTCGTTCCTTACTCCACACACCAAGTCCACTGGGACTGCCATGTGGTTCTGGGTCGATGGCCTTCCACCGAAGTGCCCTGACGGTGAAATCACAGTGGCTTGCGCTCCTACTGTCGGGTGAAAAGACCTGGGAGATCCGGACCAAGAATTGTCGAGTGCGAGGGGATGTTGCAGTGATGGCCAGTGGCAGCAGTTTCGTTTATGGCTTTGTGGAGTGTCCCGGCAATGGCATTTTCACATTCAATAATCCCAAGTAACAAACTCACAACAAGAAACTGCATGTCGGACACTCCTAAATACAGTTTCCCAAGTAATATTTTCCATTGTTGTTTTTTGATACCTCGCACCCACAGCCATGTTGGATGCTTTCCTCGCTGCCAAGGGAAAAATGGACTGCGAAGGGTCAGAGCTGAGCTTTGCTCGGCGATTGTGGTTTTTGCAAGTTTTTGTTGGACGATATGCATGTTGCGCACAATTTTTTCCAATCCCATATGCTTAGTTGTAGGTAAGCCCCGTGCTGCGGGAAGGGTCAGGCAAGCATTGATTCTGGCTTTTAAACGCCCTTCCCCCCAAGCCAGTAACTTACTTCCGGAAAAGCGCAAACTTGCAGCTTACTAGTCGCAAACGTCGTTTTTCACATCACTGTGATGACGCAATTGATTACGTTGAACTCACTTCGATGAGTTCACTATGACAGCCATGGGGCGATCAATCCGATCAAGAACCATGGGGCGAACGCCAGCCTGACCTCTCTGCGCAGATTGCCCATCGTCTAAGCAAGCAAGGACTTCACTCTATGCAACTGTGCCGGTCAAGAAAAAACCCAAAGGTTGGTGAGAAATATGAGCCCCCAGATGAAGGCATGCCCTGCGCGTTTCCGTAGAAGCCCCAGCTTCGGCGGTGGCGAGCTGCCAGGCAAGGCACAGAAAGGTCCCGAAGAAGGAATGGCATGACCGTGTGAAGAGTAGTGCACAGGGCAACTGTTTGCTTGAAACAAGTGGACAAAGTCTCGCTGCCACCATTTCCTACCTCAAACGGCATTCCAGTTGTTATGAGCCGTGGTGGAACAATTTGGTTCCGGAGTCTTCGCTCGCGTCCTTCTCCACCTATATAGTTCGTCCTCCTCAACGCGCCTGGAGCATGGGCAGGGTGGATGGAAACTGTGGTGGCGGCTGCTGCACACTACGAAAAAGCCTTTCTCATTTTGGGTCCAGAATTTTTGCACCTTGAAGTCAAATACAACACCTCTAGAAGCAAGGGTTTTTCTGTTTGTGGCATCGAGACGGCCAATATTGTTCTGTTGCTAGCCTCTCTCTCTGTCTCTCTGCTAAATTTTGCTGTCCTGTGTGGCACTCTCTTCTTCCCAGTCTCTTCTTTCCTGTCTCGTCTTCCCATCCTCTGTGCAGTTGAAGAGGAGGAGGAGGGGGAGGAGGAGGAGGACTGGGACAGCTTTGATAAAATCAGAAAATCTAAAATTCCATTAAGCCTCACCTGGCAGGTGGGGAAATACATGGAAATACCTACGTTCGTACGTTACTGTCACTGTTAAAGTAAGGAATTTAGTTTAGGCTTATATTTCAAACCTGACATATAATCAAAAAGTCGTTTGGGGGTGTCCGACATGGGGTTTCTATATGGTAGTGTTTACAATGTACTCGGGATTGTTTTGGGACTCCTACTTAAGAAAACAACGCCAAAGTCCTTTAGGAGAGGGAACCTCGGTTTCATAGGTGGAAGCTGCGGCCTTTTTTCATTTGGACTCACCTGCCACAAGATACTGTAGCTAGTCAGCTAGTCGCTCCTGTCATTTGGTGAGGATTGTCGACTGCCAGAAGCGCAGTCCTGCTGAACTCTCAGGAGGCAAACGTTTTCACCTGGTTCCTGATGATGCTCAGCCACAGGTTTCGGTTTAGCATGTTTTCGTTTAGGTTTCGGCTTTGTGTGGATGAGCGATTCTCCCTCAATTGATTGTTTTTCGGATGAGCAACCTCAAAAGCCTCTATGATGGACAATTGTGCGAGCTGAAAAAAAATCATAAAAATCATATGCTTTCGTGAAAGTCAAAACGCAGGTCGCGAACACTCTTCGAAAACTTTGCGGAAGCAAGCCTCGAGCACACAAAAAAGTATAAGCGGTTTTTGAAGCTGCTCAGGTGTTGCGACCTCAATTGGACGGGGGTTAGACATGAGTTAGCACTGGTCACATGGACTCGCACACTGCTTGAGGATGAAATCGAAAAATACACCAATGGCCAAGCTGCGTATGCTTGGGTCATCTCCCGGCCGCGGATCCTGGTGCGGCCCTTGGCAGTGCGCAGAGCCCAAAGCAGCATCAACTGGGTAAAGCTGGATGATGGTTCGATACAGGAACTGCAGCAGAGGCATCTCTTCTGCAATATTTTTTTTTTATGGCACAACTAGTGTGCAAGTGTCATGGCCATTATGTCGTTCTGTTGGACGCAGCAGGACTAGATTCTTCGAAAACCCCTTGAAACAGCCCCCCAGTGCACCGCCCCCTGTCAGGGCGGCCTATGACGGCAGCGCTGCGATGGCCGCGGCCATCCGCAGCGATATGGCGCAGGTGGAACGCCAGCGCCGCCGACCGGGCCGTCGTCGGTCGTCGAGCGCCCGGGAGCGTCTCGTGGCGGGCCTCATGGCGGAGGCCTCCGGCGCTGGTGGGGTTTTGGTCGTCGTGGCCTCTAGATCGTACGAAACGTAGAGTTGCTAACCCTTTTTGAGCTCGCTTTATTCGGGTTGACTTGGCTAAGTTGTGTTGCAGGGCTTTTCCTTCGGGAGTGCTCACAAGAATGCTCTCGTATAATGGGTTGAAATTTAGAACTTCTGACCACATGCCGTTACAGCGGTTTTAGTTTGAGAACAGTAACACTCTGGTGTTCGGGCTTGGTCCTACAAGTTTTCACAAGAGCAAAGAACACCTTCTTTAAGGGTGTAGGCATTGGATGAAAGAATGGGGACAGACTGGGAGGAAGATGGCCTGGAAGTACACATTGGCTGGCCAGGCGGAATCATTGTTGAGCCAGACTAAAATATGTCCTTAAACATACAGATTCATGTCTGGGATTTGAAGCAAGAACACCATTGTACGGGGGAGGTATTAGCTGGGTTTGGAATGTTTGCTTATAAAATGACTTTCAGAGTGCTACTTGTAGCCAGGACTGCACTAGCAAGGCCTTTGGTCTTGGATGCTATTTGCAATTAGTATACTTCCGTTGTTGGCCTTTCTTTCGGACCCCCTCCTGCTATCATCCGACGGGTTCCCTTGGCAATTTTGGCATCCGACGGTGACGTTGATCAAATTGGGAGGATTGAAGTGTCAAGTTTCTGGAGAAATTCTCACTTGCAAAAAAGAGAGGAGCAAAAGAGGTAAGGCCCCCTTTAGAAGGGCCTTACCTTCCTTTTTGCATCTCTTTTTGTTTCCACCTATTTGTTCTTCATAATTTCATAATCACTTTCGAGTGCCCTTGCCAGTCTCCTTTTGTGCTTGCTAAATCGTCTTGCCAGGCTGACGATTTCTGGTCTGAGGGTGATGGTGTGGTGAACGAGGTCACTGCTTCAATGCAAATCTTCCAGAACCTTGGATCGTGGAATTGTTTTCAACAACCCAGCAATAATCTGAGACTGTGTTTGTGTCATACATTTTACACTTCCCGTTTATCCCATGGTAATTAAATGGTAAAGTTGAAACCTGCAAGAACTCATCACTGGGCCCCAATGTGCAGGAACCACGCTTGAACCACACAGTCAGGAATTTGTGTGCGTGGCTGCTTTATGGTCCCAAGCCGCCAATGAAGCTAATGCGAAAGCTTCTCTTGCAATCTGCGAGGGGTCTCAACGAGCAACTCCTGAAGCTTCGATCGTAGCTGGGCAGCGAAAGGCACACGAAGTCAAGTACTGCGAAAAGCGTTCTGACAGCGTCCATAGGCCATAGACTGTTTGTGGGAGTATGTGGGAGTCCTTGTCAATAAATCCCAGGTGCCAAGTGGGCACTGTTACACGGCTATCATTGCAAGGCTATCATGTTTCCTTTTCCTTTTGTTCCTTTTCTATTACAATCTGTTGACTTCAGGCCGTTCGGATTGGGCTGGTTTTCAATTAGACCGCCAGGGTACATGATGATGAGTCATTTTCGGACATGGCTCATGTCATTGCCTCACACCGTTGTCGCAAGAAGAGTCCAATGGGTTGGGCCGGCTTTTGAAGCGACCTTTAGTGTTATTTTTGTTACTAGCTTGAACGAACAATCAACTACTTGTGAGAGACCGCAATGCCCTTTGCTACTAGTGGCTTCTTGTTACTAGTAAGGCCAGGAGCTACTAGTTTCGTCCTTGCTCCTGGTTGCGGTGCTCTTGTTGCTAGTGGCCTTTTCTGTTATTTTTGTGTTCTTGCCTTAGCCTTACTTCAGGCCAGAGGAAGCGGACAAAGTGCAACAGTTGCGATGGTGCTTTGAGTTGTACCACCGACTGGAATCCCTGCCACGGCCGCTGGCTGAGTTACGAAAGGCCCTGCAGGTGTAATAAGACGGCAACCATGCAGTTGACCATGCAACAGGCTGTTGCACTGTTGACAATGCTTCGCATTGTTTCTCCGTCCGCACAATGAAGTCGTCACGCTGGAGACCCAACGATGAGCACTGCCACCTTGGCCACGGGGTGCTGATCAGCCTGAAGCACGGCGGAAACGGATTGCCATACTGGGCCTTCGAAGCAGCCGGCTGAGACAAAAAGGAGTGCCTGCAAAAGGGTGCCCCCACATCGCTCGCACGTTGCTCGTGCGATGCTGGGCTGTTGTTTGCCCTTGTGAGCTGAGGATTTTCGCCGGGGGGATGCACTAGCTGTACTTCCTTGCGGGCACATGTTCTGCGAGGCGTTGGGGTGACGGAATTGCCGTTGCAGTTTGACAGGGCTCAGAGCAGATGCCATAGAACATGGAAGGACCACTGTCCCTTCCTGCTTAAACGAATGCCACCTACATTTGGAAAGCTTTAACCAGCTGTTCAACCTTGGTTTTGTACGACAGACTTCTTCCAAGGCTGCTGGAGAATGAGGTGAGGTTTCTGACACAATGTTTGGTGCAGGAGCATCATGCAGCATTTGACTATCTACATTTGATACTACTACGTGTATTAGTATTTACCTATGGAACACAGTGCATCGCTACGAACGGGGCGGCCCGAACGGAACGCGGAACCCGAACGGAACCGCTGCCTGCGACGTCCGGCGGCCCCGACTGCGAGGCCTGCATTGTGGGATGGTCCTTCTCCGGCCGTGCTTCTTCGCGGCTTTGCCCCATTTGCCGCAGTGCCCCTGGGTGAGAAGACGAGACTCAAGTCCGTTCTCGTTCAGCACAACGCAAAGAAATGAATCGCACCAAAACATGAACAGAGAACTAAGAGTTGACTGGACATTCTGGGTTGGACTGGTGGCCGATAAAGATTGGATAAAGGTAGTGGAAGGTCTGGGAAGGAGTGAACAGACAAGCCTGGAGAGGTGGTAATGAAGACACACAATGAGAACTCACGTCGACAAAGTTTACCTGAACCTGGAGGCCATCGCTATTAGAAACAAAGAACAGGGAAAAGGGAGGAACGGTCTAATGATATAGTTTGCTTCTAAGATGGAGGCCGCTAACCTGAACCTTTGGAATGTTTTTGATCCTTGTGGCCCAGCTCTTGTACGCCTAGGATTTCAGACGACGATCACCGGAGTCTCGGGTTCCGCCACAGGCCTGAATGGAGAGAGAAGAACAAATACCTTAAGAAACAAATACTTATTGGACCCTACTAACGATGGCCCCTAACCTACTTTGATCACATCTGGCCAATCACAACTGACGATTGAGAATATCTTATCTTCGTCCCTGACGACAGGTGGTTGGCAATATGGTATGAAGTGTAGTATGCACAGGGCATGACTCCTCTGATTTGCTCTACTATTTGCACGAACTCATGGGAAACATCGTTCATGGGGTCTTGACCGGAAGTGGGTCAACAACGTCCATGGTGGTTATTTGTTGCTACGAAGTGGCCAGCGTTGGCCTTTCCTATTGAGAGTTGGTGATCGTCTTGCGTTTTCTCAGAGGAGTCAGATTAGCACACGTAGCACAGCATCTTTGAGTTTAGTGTGCACAACATTTTGCATGGAATTCGCGCTGAAATTGCGCATTGTTTGCCTCCCTCGTGTGCTGGATGCAAAGTGCCGCACACAGCAGCAAGCGGCAGTCAGCTGCAAAGCTTGGCACTTGGAGAACTATAACTATAACGTAAATTGTTAGTTAGATTTAAATGTGTGTATGCTATTTCACGTTTTTTGCAGCCTTTAGGTCTTCTTACACACCTTATGACTATACTTACTATGACATTGCCGCGATGCTGTTGCGTTTTAGTTGTAAAGATTGGCAACGCACCGCGTTGGCGTTGGTTTCACTGCACCATCTTGCATTTAGCGGATCCGCTTGGAGCGCCTTCCAACGGACTCCGCCCTCGGCTCCCGCACAGCTCATAAGCCAGCTGTGCTGCGCATTGCTCCGTGCATGCTCCTATGCGGATGTGCTAGCTTGGCTTCCGAAAGATTGGCTTGCAAGAAAATGCTGAGGCCGCCAATTATACCCCGGTCCATTTCAGATAGGGTCAATAATCATCAGATTCTTGAAGTTGTATAAGTGCCTCACCAAATCTCGTAACAAGCGCATTGCTACTATCAGCAAATAGCTACTACTAGTAGCTATTTGCTAGTAGTAATGCGCTTGTTGCTAGTAGGGGCCGTTGACTTCACCAAATTGCTTTCCCAGGAGCTTCGTGAATCAGCACATCAGATCGCTGCTTTGGCACCGGTGCGCCAGGACCCAAGCTTTTGATTTAGGCCATGCACAGGCCACACTGCTACACCCGGCCTGTCGCTACACCTCAGCCTCTTTAGGGGTTTCCCTCAACAAAAATGAGCGGCGAGACGCTCGTAGCAGCCAACCTGTGGTGGGAAAGAAGATAAGTTCACCCATCAGCCGGGGCTTGAAGTGTCATTCAGAACGCAAAGCGGAGCTCTCGGTGGAGGCCATCGCCAGTAGGTTGGAGGCCATCGCTATTGGTAAGCGGAGCTCTCATTAGAAATTGAAATTGCTTGAGAGGCGTTTAGGTTCACTTCTTGTGCTTTTGAGGCCCAGAGGGCACCTGGGTTGGCATCTGAGATATCCTGAGATGCTGTTTTGCAGAGGCCGCATACATGGAGAGAAATGCACTGATTTGCAACTGACGTCAAGTAAGAGACAGAGACACTCAGACTCGAGAGCGAGAGAGAGGCAGCCTAATAGCAATGGCCTCCAAAGACGTCATCAGACCGCGCTCCCGACTGAGGTCTGTGCGATTTGCCTGGTGGAGTCTCAGGCGCCGGAGAAAGACTAGTCTGGACAAAATCACCAACCGTGGAGTCAAACAGGTTCGTGCAAACAGGTTGATGATGTTGTTTTGGTTTCTTTTGTGCACATGGTCCTCTTGCGTCCCCGACTCGCGCTGTGCCTCATGGCACTTAAGACCTGACGTAGAGGACCTGAGAAGTGGCGTCAGGTGGTAGACGGGGGGTAGAGGGGTGCCGGCAGAGCAGTGAGACGAACTCGTGACTCCTAAACGGCTCATTGACTCGTGAACTTGGATGAACTCGGGTCAACCACGAGTTGAGCACCCCTTAAGCCGCTTGAGCCCTCAGGCCGACCTTGAGGCCGTGACCTGAGCAGATATCAATGGCCAGTGCTTGCTTAGCCTTTGGGGCCTCTAAAGATCGATAACTAGCAACTACTAGTAACTAGAGATGCTTATCATGTCTAAAGCCTTCCTTCCTTCCTTCCTTCCTTCCTTGAGATCTTTCGGGATGTGTGATGCCGCATATATATAATATGTGTGTGTGTTGGTGTTTGTGTGCTCGTGCGCAGCGAGAAAAACACCACAAGCATGAACAGCATAGTGTTGCTGGAATTAAGGAAAATTTGGTATTGGGCCTCGTGCATGCGAAGGTCCCATCAAAATCCGTCAAATAATCCTGCAAAATGCAGGATTTGCCCTGCTTGGCGGAGCGCTAAGAAACCCAACAATTGAAAACAAAAACCTAAGGCTGATCGTGTTTGGAGAATGCCTCCTGTAACTGTGACTTCACCAAATTTCGCCCCTAAAGACAAAGTCTCCGCGAAAGGTGCAGAAGAACTCCTTTGAAATATCAAATCTGATTCGCTTAAAATCAAGCTTCGAGCAGCGTACTTGGACATGTGGTTAGGCCACTTTAGATGTGGTGGCCCTTTGGCGATAGGACAGAGATGAGAAGACTGAGCAAGACGTATTGACGCATCGTATTCGACGGAACTTAGGAGACCTGTTCCAATTTCCAACGAAAACAACAAGCAAATTGATTTGAAGAATGCGTGTAAAGCCCGCAGGGTGTGCAAAAAGGAGCTGAAACTAATGATTTTGTGAACCCTTTCCAAGGCCAAAAGCACCGCTTGGTGCAGAGCTCAATGCGAAATATGCGAAACATACGCCAATCATTGTGGAGCTCAAGCCATTGTCGGTAGACCGCGGGTACGGTACATCAAAGAAGCAGCTGCAGAATCACGTGGTTTCTGGTTGCGTGGCAGAATCTCTCATTGAAGCCGTTCGACGTCCTTGCAATTCCATTCAAATCTAAGGCGAAAGCTTCCATGTGGCCACGTCTGCCAGTCGATGGTTTTTGGGTAGCGTGTGACATGTCATGGTCGTTTTGTCGTGCTTATTTTTCTGCAGCTTTGCCCCCAAAGGCGCAGAGAACATGTGTTCCTTTCGAGCCAGGTTTTTCACAAGAGTTGCGTGCTGCCTTGGATCCGCGGGGGGAAGTCAGGGGCACCAAAAGAAAAAGGACGTTGAAGACGAGCGCCTTGCTGGATGCACACTGATGTGGATTTGTTCAATGCATCAGGAACTAATTGATGTTTATATAATTGTTTGCATGTCGGGCCATTTGCCAATAACCATGCTATGATTAATCAATCTCATGGTGAACGTCGTTGATTTGACATCGAACATTGCTGGTGTCGGAGTTGATTTCACGTGTTGAGTTGGTTTACTGCCAAAGCCGCTGAACTTAGGCCATGCCCTTTGGGTCGTTGCACGGTTCCGGCCGCGGCGCGGGCTGGAAAGCGCGAGATGAGCTTTTTGCAAGCCAAATGCGCAGTGGGCTCTCCCAGTTCGATTTGATGTAGAGGACGGTGGCAACTACTAGCTTCTTGTTACTACTAGTAAGGCACTTGTTACTAGAAGCGATGC